AAGAGCTTGTCTCATTTATGATAATGATAATGGCAATTACGTTAATGATGATGATCATCATCATAATTTGCAGTTTGCGCAGTACATAATTTATGATTATATATGGTGATATATGGCATTGACAACTGAATATATATAGTTGAAGTTTCATCAGCTTGATTGCGCATATAAAAATCTGTTAGCATCATTGATAATTCACTTGAACTTATCATCACGATCAACTGGTTTTGATGAAATATGTGTTATACCAGTCACTACTCCGCCAATATATATTTCCATACCATTTTGAAAATGTAAACTTGACAATTAACATTTTACTGCGAAAATTCCAATTAGTACCGAAGATTTTTGCACCCTAAGGCTAAAAATGATTTACTTCGCGTAATGGTAATTAAGGTAGAGGTTATAGATTCTTGAGGTTTCATGTTCAAATTGCATTGTATGCAAGTTTTATCTAGATTTCCACTAATTTTTATACTTTGTAATTTAGTTCAATTATTAATTTATGTTACCCATATATCATACGACTTGATCTTAATACTTCTAACATCCACAGGAAGAACATATCATTAAACTACTTCTAATTAAGTAATTGACTATATATCCTATATGCATGTGATATGAGTGTTGTAGTTATACATCCCCCCAAAAAAACGCTGTTTCACATTTTCACTTTGTGATTCTCCTTTCTTGACTAGGCGAAGATATGCTTATATATCTGTAAACAAAGTACATCAAATCTTCACCATGATGGCTTTTGCATGAAATGCATATGGACTCTGATTGATTTCTTTTCACAACTTAAAGATTAAGCGTGCTTGAGCTTGCTGTAATTGGAATAGATATAAAGGGAAAAAAACATACTCTGTCTCTTGACTGATTTCTTTTCAAGACTTGGAAAAATCATTCAACTTTAAAGATTGAGCATGCTTGTTGTGGTTGGAGTAGATAGAAAGGGAAAGAAAGGAAGAAAAGCAATATGGCAAGCTAAAAGTATGAGTCAAAAAGGTCGTTTTGTATGATGCAATATTACTAGGGAAGGTGAAGAGAAAACAACTATTGGTAGCCTTTCGCAGTCTGTATCGTTTCTTCCCAACATTATTAATTTAGTGGGGATTTCATCTCATCGCATGTCTTAGTGGTGGTTAATAAGGAGACTTGTCTTTACTAAGTAAAAACCTAACTACCCTATCTCAAAATAATCATCATTTTTTTAATTTTTTTTAAATTAAAAATTTAAGAGTAATATTTATTTTTATTTATAATACCTATAAAAAAATAGAAGACAAAAAAAGTTTGTAATTAGATAATTATTAAAGTGAATGGATAATAGTAAGATTAAAGAATAAAAAATATTTACCTATTGTGAAAAATAAAAAAATAATAATTAATTTAAAGCAAATTTAAAATAAAAATTATAGTTATTTTAAAATAGAGAGAATATAAAAAATGCTAGCTAGCTAACATGTAAAAAGTAAAAATCAATACATTATACCATTACAAATATTAAGAGCTCTTATTTTACTTATATATATTTTTTGAACATGGAAAAATTTTTTGGGGAATGGGGAATTTTTTTTTAAACCGTCAATCAAAATCAAATTTTCGATGATCTAAATTTAAGCATTAAAGTTTAAAGACGAATCATTAAATCTGAATGTTTAATTCTTCTAATTTTACTAATATATATTTAAATAGTGTATAATTTAGAGGAGGAGAATTTTTTTAAGATATTAGTGAGATTTGATCCAAACATTTTAAAACTTAGGGATGAGCTATTTAGGTCCAAAAGTTTGATTCTTTTGATCTTACTTATATATATATTTTTAATGGATTTACAATTATGAGATGTGGGTTCAAACTCAAGTTCAAGGATGGGAGATGCATCTTACTGAGTGGCTTATACGGCAAAAAAGTTTAATGAGATCTGTATCAATACTATGGCTGAATTTTTCAACATATGCCAAAAACTTTCTGAATTTTTTGTATCCCTCATGCATTTTGCGTTTATGGTACTATAAAGTGGTTGAGTGTTGACTTAGCTGTCTAAAACTTGACGCGTAAACCACTCTGCGTGTGGCACGAGTTACGTTTAATGTTTTGTCTTCTGTCTGCGTCCTGTCCTGGCCGATATTTTAGACCTTGCACAAGTCAACCATCAGACCAATTCAATGTTGAACAGACATTGGCAGTACCAGAGAAGAAAATGAGCACACCAGCACCACTGGACCATTTCTGGGTGTCCTTTAAAATATTGGTAAACCCCCTAAATTGCCTCTAACTCGTAAGTTTTGAGGTGGCTTTGGCTCTTTCCCCTATACTTTGAAAGACAGACTTTAAACCCTTAGATTAGACCAAGTTTGGGGGGTTTTGACCATTTCTGGGTCTCTCTGAAAATTATGCAAGCATAAACCCTTCCTACCCACATATATAGTGGTTTGAGCTCGTTGGGTGACATATGCTAGGAGACACTAGTCAGCTTGGATAGTAGATTATGCAAATTAAGAGAGGTTTAGAGGCAGTATTTAACAAGCTTGTGCAGATTTAAGTGATAATCTAGAGAGCATTTGCAGAAGGTTCAAAGCCTTCAGGCACTCAAAGCAAGAATTCACTTCTCCAGCTATCCATTGTATTCACTTATTTATATCATCATACCTAATCTTTTAGAGATCAGTTTTTTCCTTCTCTCTTACTATACAGAACTTAAGAGAGTATTGGGTAGAATCCTCTTACACAACCTAAGGTTCCATAACCTTGAGACATAGGTATTGGGTTGGGAAGGATGTTGATTTAAGGGATTGTAATGGTGACTAGCACGTACTGGCAGATTAGTGGAAGATTGACAGTTACTAGCACTCACAAGTTAGAAGATTGCATTGTATCTCTAACACCTAGAAGTTTGAGGGAGATTTCACTAGTGGAGGAGAAATCTTAAGCTTGTTTGGAGGAGAGGATGTAAACACTTAAGAATTAGGTTCTTGAATCTCTATAAAGAGAAATTCTAGTGCGTCAATAGGATATTGTTGACATACTATTCTAATCAATAAAAATATGACACTTTAAAAATTTTCACATCTTATGTTACGGTGTCATGTTAAAATATTATTTAAGTTATAATGGTATTTTAATATAATACAGAGATTTTAAAGTGACCTTTTTTGTTATTGCTACATAGATACAGTTAGATTTCCATTTAATCCAACTAATGAGATATAGAAAGATTGTCCAATTTGATACGAATTTAGTAGTTGGTAGACCAAAAGAGGAGAAAAATTAGTTTCTAGACTAAGTTGATATAAAGCTTATAGTTAACAGACCATTTGTTAAATTTAACAGTAGGAATGAAAATTAGAACCTTTGTGTGACACAGTAAATTTTCTCTTATTAAAATCCCTACTTGTTTTGTCTCATCTTTTTTTTATCAATGTCTTTACCTCAATATTAATTTCTTCTTAAAGCAATTTTAAGGTGTTTACTTATGTGTGGTCTCTGGCGCCTTTAATTAGGAAATAAAACCTCTTGAGTGCTCCTCAAATCTTAAACACAACACCTAACTTACAAAGTCATACGAACTAACATCCTTAGGTTTAGCCAAAACTAGGGAACTTGCCCAGTCAAGACGCATCGATCACACTGGGCAGCTGTTTACAAGCTGCAGAACCTGTTCGTGTTCAACTACTTAACTTTGGGTTTTTGACACTTCACCAATTTCTAATTAATCAGGCTAGCTTCCAAATCTGTTAATTCAACAGTCATAGGCTCATGTTTTAGTTTATTATTAGTTTATTCCAAACAAAAAATGAAAAAAAGGAAAGAGCCGTCGACTTATGGGGAGTATGTCGAAGGTTGACATTCCCCTGGCTTTTTGTTTCTAGTTTCAAATTTTGTTCAGTTTTTCCTAAGAAGGGTTAGAACAATGGGATAAAATGGAGCATGATTGTAAACTCAGGGAAATGAAGATTCCAAACTTCCAAAGCCCATTTCAGTTATGTGTTCAATCTGATTAAATCATCTTTAAATCCAACCAAGTGACACATAAATGAGTTAAACTGCATGCTGACGCACAAGGAAATGCCAGATTGAGCAGTTCCCAATCAGCGAGATGCATTATAAAGGCCAAGCAGAGGTTTCTCTCTCTCTTCAACTCTCTTCCTTGCAGCTTCTCTTGCTTTGAGAGCAGCTTCTTCTTCTTTGGATAGAGCCTTTGGTTTCCCATCTTCCCTTTTTCTCTTGCCAACAGTTAGCGATGATGGAGCACCTCTAACATTTCTCTTTGGATTTAAAGAATCTGAAACCACAGGACCGGGCGGCACTGCACTTTGACTTTTGGCAGCAGTTTTACTTTTTGCAACAGGTGCTGCCCCTGAAGTTGATATTGGCTTTTTCATAATAGAAGCTTTTGATTTGGAATCAGACGAAACCTGAGCTCTGGAGTATGCCTCTTCCTGTGTCACCCACTTCCCTGTTGCATTTCCATAGAGTAAATATAACACAAAAAATGGATTCGAATAGGACATCTTAAGAGGAAAAAGAATAAGAAAAGATCTATAGTTTAATTATGTTGAGACATACCTATAGCATCGGAATAGTAGAAGCCTGACTTCGGATCATAGAATAAACCATTGCTTTGATTGCAATAATAGCCAGAAGAGTTTTCGTATTCCCATTCTGTATCATTAAGCTGCATCAGTTTGATACATTTGAAACTCAAGATGAAAAAGATCGCATAAACAGATAAACAACCAGGTTATAATACATATACAAATGATTAACAACCTGTTTTACAACCTAATGTTAAGATGTTGAACCAGATAAGAGCTTCAAAGCCATACCTATCGGGCGCTCGTTGTTTATCGACTACCAAGTTAACAAAGAAACAAGCATGATTTACCTGACCTGTAAGACGCAAGTCCTACTCTAAGCTCTAACCACATGTAGCAACCGGAAAACATAGAGGAATCAGAAGGCATGTATTGGAAGCTGGCATATAGATTCTTAGACTCTAACTTGTTCAAATTATGTCACAGGATTAAGTTTGGCTTTGACAAACGTGCTAAACAAAGACTCAAGTTTCTCTTCTGATGAATCATCCAAGCTAAAAAGATTGCAACAACTATTAATAAAATCTAGTACCAAAACAACACTACACAACTGTATCGTCTGCCATGAAATTATTTATTTTATTTAAGCAGATGCGTTCTTTCTAAGTAACCATCATAAAGAATTCAAGCTTATAACTCCTTCCAGCCTTCATTTGTTAAGATCTATACAAGACTAAAAAAAACAAGTTCCTTACTTCTTTGTAACTCAAATGTAGACCAGTCTAGCTGTCTGCCAGCAGCTCAGTTTCCTTAAAAGCCCTAAGTGCAATGAAAAGATATTCAGGACCGTCCAACCATACAGATGATAATTATGAACAAACCTTACCAGAGAAACTTACTAAAGAAAAATATTCCTGGCACTGGATGGATGCAACATCATTATAGAATAAGTGACAGATAAATGAATTGCCAAACTTGTATTACCATTTCCCAGCATTGAATAATATAGAAGAAAATAAGAAGGCCAAATCAGTGTGCTTACCCTCTTGATCAGTTAATGCTTCAGGACTAGAATCTCTGGCCTGAAAATTCACTACATCCTTCTGATAACTACGCTTAGCTTTCTGGTAGATAAAAAAAAAGAAAAAGAAAATAATCAATATCATATTTAGACATATATTAATAATCGATTTCATAAAAGAATGGGCAATTGATACAAGAATGGTTTTTTTTTTTTTTTTTTTCAATATATTTCAAGAGACTTACAACAGTTGTAAATTCTTTTCAGGAAAAAAAATATATATATATTGATATCTAGGAAAGTTTTACTTAAAAGCCTTTTTTCTCCATAAAACAACCAACACAAATTATTTCTGCAATTTTTGAACAGGTTAACGTTTTCAAGAACGAAAGAACCAATTAATGCTCTATACATATTCAATTGTTATATCTTCAAAACACGAGCAACATTTTCAGAATTCCACAAAGCATGAGATGAATTCAACATTAGTGATCTCAAACACAATTCATTTGCATACAAGACAGCTCAATCTTCAAAAATATCCCATTATCTTCGTTAGCGCCAAACATGCAGCTCTAATTACTTAATTAAAACTTTTAAAACAAAACGTAGTTTGATCAATACTTACAGCTTCAATCTGTTCAAGGGCCCGAGCCGCTTCCTTCTGTTCCTTCTCCTTGGCTGCACTCTCCTTCCGCATAGTAGTAAGCCGTTTTGCAACATTGTCCTTGTGTCGTTGACCAAGCTCATGGTTCCTAATGCTGGAAGGATTATTCGCTATGTAGATTTTGCAGAAATCACACCATTTATTACCTTGACTAACCCAATACTACAAACATACACACACAGAGAAAAAAAAAAATCAGAATCAGAAACATTGAATTCTTTTCTAGGACCAATAATATAAAAATAAATCATAACAAAAGGGATTTCCTTCTACGAATTGATTCAAATACGAAAAAAATAGATTAATAAAATAAAGCTTGAAAAATACCTCAGTCATGACTGCGAATTCGAGATCGCTTCAGAAAACCGAATTTGAGCTAAATCCCCACAAACTGGTCGCTAATTATTCAGAATCGAAGTTCTTCAAACCCTAGACGGAATCGGAAATCTCCCCGTCGCGTCGCTTGTGTTTTTTATTTCAAAAAAAAAAAAGAACGAGCCGGGCGGGTTTGGTTATTTCTAAAGAGTTAGATCGACCCGGTTTGACAGCTGTGTTTTGATTTGAACGGAACCGGTTTCATTATGTTAGTAATGCTATCGGTACTATTGTATCGTTCTCCACTGAAGTGGAAAGTGCGGATGTTCACTTTCTTGCACTTTCTTTCTTGCCAAACACAAAACAGAACAAAACCTAACTTCAGATTTTCCTGAGAAAATCCTAAAGTTTCTCATGGATGAAACGTTCTTGTTAATGCTATCAAACCTCCTTCACCTTCACAACTCTCTTGATCCCTCCATCTCTCTTCTCTCTCCGTCTTCCTCCTCCCCTCCGCCCGCTTCTTCCCCTTCTCCGTCGTCTCCTTCCGCTATCCTCTCATCCTCCTCCCCGGCGCCACTCATCTTCTTCACCCTCGCTTCTGTTCTCTCCTTCCTCGCTTCCTCTTCCTCCTTGAAGAAGAAAGATTCTAATAATTCCTCGAATTCCCCCACTTCCCCATCCCCTTCTTCCTCGCACTTTTCAGTTTCTGCCTTTCGTGCCCTCTCCACTGATCACATCTGGTCCCTTGACGCCCCCGTCCGTGATGCCCAATGGCGGTCCTTGTACGGACTATCTTACCCAGTTTTTACAACCGTTGTTGACAAGCTGAAGCCGTTCATAGCCGCTTCCAATCTCTCCCTTCCTTCCGATTATGCCGTCGCCTTGGTTCTTTCACGGCTTTGCCATGGATATTCTGCTAAAGCTATCGCCTCCCGATCCTCCCTCGACCCCTACCTCATCTCCAAGATCACCAATATGGTTACCCGGCTCTTGGCTACTAAACTCTACCCCGAATTTATTAAGATCCCTGTGTCTCGTAGAAGAATGATTGAGACTACGCAGGGTTTCGAGGAGCTAACGTCGCTGCCCAACATTTGTGGAGCAATTGATGGGAGCCCCATCAAGGTCCGTGGACTGAATCTTGACAGGAATTCGATGAATATCTACAAATGCAAATATGGGTATGATTCTGTTTTGCTTCAGGTTGTTGCTGACCATAGGAAGATCTTCTGGGATGTGTGTGTGAAGGCGCCTGGTGGGGCAGATGATGCTTCACATTTTAGGGATAGTTTGTTGTACAATAGGCTTATTTCAGGGGATATTGTGTGGGATAAGGTGGTCAATGTGAGGGGTCACCATGTGCGGCCTTACATTGTTGGGGATTGGTGCTATCCTTTACTGTCATTTTTGATGACACCCTTTTCGCCAGATGGGGCTGGTACACCGGCACAAAACTTGTTTGATGGGATGCTGATGAAGGGTAGGTCTGTTGTGGTGGATGCAATTGGGTTACTTAAAGCGAGGTGGAAGATTCTTCAGGACTTGAATGTGGGTCTCAACCATGCACCACAAACCATTGTTGCTTGCTGCGTGTTGCATAATCTGTGTCAGATTGCGAGGGAGCCAGAACCAGAGCCTTGGAAGGATCCAGATGAGAGTGGCCCTCCTGCAAGAGTGCTTGAGAGTGAGAAGCAGTTTTATTATTTTGGGGAGAGCTTGAGGCAGACATTGGCTGATGACTTGCACCAAAGACTTTCATCAAGATAGAAGATGTGCATCTGGAAAGAGGTTTACTTTTGATTTTTAACCTTGTTTTCTCTGTAAGAACGTATCTTTAAGTGGTTCTAACTTGGATGAATGAATGTGATTTCCGTTATTGTTTTTTTACCGATTGTAATGAGTGACACAGGTCAATGTTGTGCAAAAGTAAAGTTCGTAGGTAGTGATTTAATTTTGGTAGCAAACTATCATAGCATTGGAATTTGGCTGTAGATGTTGAGTTCAAGAGTTTGGTGGTGCACAATATTAGTCTTCGGGCTCTGATTTGTTTAGATTAGGTTGACTGTTTTCCTTGTTTTCCCTTGGATGAAACATGAAGTTATGGTTTCCACAAATAAGTTATTGATGCATAAGGGGGGAAAACATTCTAACTTTCATGCTTGTGGATGTAGTGGACCTTGATTTTGTGCGTTTGTTTGAATGAACTTCATACATTAGCATCATGATTTTGGGAGTTTGGTTATAACCTCTTTTTTTTTTATCAACCAAAGTTAATTTTCTTAATTTAGAGTACAAGAGGTACTCTGCCAATTTACATTAAATCCTATTGGTGCAAAGAAACAAAAAACATAACGTGGTATGTTTTACTCACATCTTCTTTCTTCAACGCACTGTTCAAGCCCCTAACATTATAGGAAATAATCTTCATGGTTAACAACAACAAACCCACAAACCTGAATCCGAGCCGCCTTAATTGTGAGATCCACCAGCCCCTTCCTTTTCTTCGAATTGATGCACCACTTTCACAATTTCCTGCTCATTGTTCCTTGTTTCAACTCCAATCTTCCTTCCCAGTTCTAAAGATTGATTCATTTTCCCCTAATTATGCTCCCTTCTTAGGAGTCTATTTCTCTGCTCTATTCGACTATATATCAGACAATGACGAACCTGCTATCTTTTTGTTCGGTCTTCCCTTTTTCTTTTGAAGTCTTCTTCAATTGCCTTTATTCTTTCTTGTCAGCTATTTAGTTTCACCTTCATCAGAATAGTATATTTCTTCCAGATCCCTCCATCGTTTTCCATTCTTCATTCTTCGCCTTTGCTGTTTTACCTCTCCTCCTTTCTCCTTTCATATCATCCTTTAGGCTAGCCCCATCTTCACATCGTTAATAGGTGGATGTGAGTTTCTGTTGGATTCTCCATAATGGGCTTCAGTATTTTGAAATTCATGAAGCTCAACTTCTTGACCCACTCTAATGTTGTCTACACCATTCAAAATTTCCACCCCATTTAATTGTCCTTTATTAAGACAATTTTCTAAATTATTATTTTTCGGCTCAGTCCTGAATTCCCAAGACTTCACTTCATTGCCGTCGCCAGAACAAACATCAACATACATCTTTTGGAAAGACTCACTTGATTGTCTCTGGTAAAGGGAAATTCATCCCCATCTCTTCGACTGCCTCAAGACTTTCTGACCAACCGACCTCTTCATCCTCCTCAACATAGTGACGTTCTACATTACTTGAGCCATTGGAAAAGCTTAAATCTTCACCCTCGCCGTCTGCTGCTTCTGTCGACTTCCCACACATCCACCATTCTGGGTCTGCTCTCCAATTTTCTTCCGAAACATAGATTTGAAACGGTTGTCCATTAACTTTTAAGACCACCTAATCATTAAAACTCTTAGAATCTTCCATTGTAACACAAGCTCTTGCTGCTTCTAAACAACTTCTATCCAAAGTCTGCTTGTCGGCATAAATATAACGACCAAATGATCATCGATGATTTTAAAGCAATATTCATTCCAAGCATGAGGTGGGAGGCTAGAGATCTTCAACCAAGTAAATTTCTCTTGACTAAAATCAAATGTCGACCATAATTTAACTCTGTCAAACCATCTAACTGTCTTTGCTCATTATCTACCAACTCCTTCATTTGAGCAGTATTATCACCTCTGAGCAGTACCATGCATCCTCCCATGGGCACAACTACAATGTTAAAAATTCCTTCCATTTCGAAAACCTGGAGAGACGAAATAACCTCCAGAGAGGTTACATATCCGATTGCACATGCATTGAGCCAATCGTACTCCTTCTCTTCTACAGTACACTCAATCACCTTGCTGCCCTTTACACAATCACCAAACACCCCTTCACTTGACACCCCTCCACAAGAGTTAACACTTTCTCTCTTTTGCTCCACTTGTTTATGCGGATCCCCCTTCAAAACCTCCAAGAAGGTCTTATGAACTCCTACTATGCCTCTATGCTTCCCCTCTGCCTTTCCAACTTCCCCCCCTGATTCTCTATTCGCAGGTGCTGATCCTTTTGCAACCCATTTCATCTTCCCTCTCTCCTTCCCTGATTCTGCCCTCTTCTCCTGCTCCGGGTCTAGTAGACTCAGCCCATCCATAGCAAACAAATTTCACCCTTAGGGCCTATTTGTATCAGCTCCTATGAGCTTAAACTTTTTCATATTATTTATGTTTGATGAATTTACTTATTTTTTTTTTAATTTACACTTTTAAATATTTTTTTAACTTTAAAAAATTTTTAAACAATAAAAATTCAAAAGTTTCAAATTTAAACCTTTCATAAACTCTTTTTTTACTCACTTTTTCATATCTCCAAAAACTAAAACTCTATTTTTCTTTCAGTAAAAATTTAAATTTATTACTCATAACAGTATTCAAAAAACAAAAACTCTCACAAGTCATACTAAACAAGGCTCTTAGATGGAAATTATCAATCCAGACACGATTCAATCTTTCCTCCAAGGCAGAAGTGCTCGTCACATTCAGGAACCTTACAAAACCATACTTCCCTCCACTACTGTCCCTCTTTTTAGAGATATGAACATCCAGAAGTTTTCCATATCTTGTAAACAAACCCCACAGCATCCCAGAGTTCCGTTCCTCTGGAAAGTTAGAGAAGTGGAAGCTCCAAGAGTTCATCAACAAATCCACACTGAAGTTTGCAAACCCGTTAAATCTCTGTCGCTGCTTTCGTGCCAATGAAAACCTTCCACGATCACCCTGTCCTGTGGCTACTGGAACCCTCTGCTGGTACCGCCTGGTCTTCCTGTGTTGACGCTCTCTTGCCATCGCTGCTCACGCCCGTGATTTAGTTTGGTTGTAACTTGTAACATTAATTAAATCAGCCTTGACCCCTCCACTGTGTTATGAATAATGCTGTGGCCTGTGGGGTTTTGGTGGCTTATTTTACCATTGTTTTTCAAAAAGAGATGTGTTGATCAATTTAATTCTGAGATGATTTCTCATTTCAAGGTTTTACAGAAGTTGAGCTTTACTTGGAAAAATAGTTGATGTTGGTGGTGTAAGGTAAACATTGTGGATAGCTTATTGAATCCAATACATGCCAATTGAAGGTTCCACTAGATATGAGTGTCTTTTTTATTTTGGTTTCAGGTGTACATTCATTTGCACTTCTTTTTTTTCCTTCTTTCCAGAATCCTGATCTTCAATGGGAATTTTGGAAGAGGATACGTATATGTTTAATCCATCGACAACATGTGTTTATTGATGGATGATTTTTTTTTTTTTTTCTCATTTTTGGTCCAAATCAAATCCTGTCACTATTTGCATTTATTTTGCTGGGTGAATTTACTGCTCCATGAAGTCATTTTCTTAGTCATACAACCCCATGGATGTTTGGAGATTGTTCGAGTATCTGTGCTGCTAATTAGTGGATATATATTTTTTCTAGACTAGATTCTTGAAGAAGTAAAAGAACTTTGTGAATTATGATGGCCTCCAGACATATCCATCAGATATTCTTCTATTGCTTTATTGTCTCTCCCCTATTTGGTGTTGTGAACCTTTTATCTTCTTTACCTAGCACATGAAGACATTGCTTGCTCTCACAAGTGACACCATGAATGGACAATGGATTTTTGTTAGAAGTCCCATTTTGTCATAAAGCACTTAAACCGTGGAGTGTACTTCATATACTTTATCTCCCACTTTCCCCCTTCTTTCTTTCCTTAAATTAGATCTAGAGGTTAGATCCTTAGCGGTTTGAAGATATATTTTGAACATAAATGCTTTGGCCTAAAAATAAAACATAGGTCTTTGCAGCTGGAGCATTAAGAGACCTGTTATGGTCCTAAATACACACCAATCTGGAAATTTTGCTTCTTAGAATCAAATATTTTGATATGCTGCTATTTCACTTATTCACTTATTGCTAATTAATTTAGTGTTAGATGCCCATACTGCATTGAGGTCCGCATGTTTTCAAACATAAAACTCAGTTTGTCAGGACTCGGGAATAAAAGAGATTTGAGTCTTGCCATCTTTGTAATCGTCACTGATGGAGTGGTACCCAAATCTCCAACCTTTGTCAACTCTTTCCCTGACATGTAGCATAGAGCGACATCTCTTAATTGGTTAAACAAGTCAAGCCATTACCCGAACCTCGAAAAAGTAGTATATCTGTTAAGAGAACAACTATAAACTGTTCTCTAACAGTTAGGCCAATCAGAACTACTTTTACGAGAGAATGATAGGGTCTGAAATTTGATTCTCAAGTTAAACATTGACAATAGACAGTACCTTTCAAAGCTAGAACAATTGCAGGCAACAAACAATATGACAAGTTAATACTTTATTTATAGATTAGGCAAAAAGTTTTGCCAGTTTGGATTGGTTAACCCATCTTAGGATTAAAACATTGACAACGCATTATGAAGAAATAAAATTGTTGGATGAATATACAAGAGTGCCGAGGGGATACATCTTGTACAACTTCAGTTACAACATTTCCACGCAAATGAATGTTTATCATTCCTCCGGCATTTAGGATCTTTACCGTGCTGGCAGGTTTTATTATGTGCTTCTGCTTTCCTTGAGGTTCTCTATGATGAAGTTTCCCCATTTCAAAAGGAAAGTAGCCTGTTATGAAGCAGATAAGTTCTTCTCATATGATCATGAGCACAGATTCATTGCCTGACAAAATAATGTCAAGTATGAATTTGATTCAAGTTCACTAGAACACAATAGATAAATGACATTAAAAAACAGTAGAGTTGGATGAAATTTCAGGAATGGCTCAAAGAACACCTACTTATAGAGTATAGACTTTCCCCATAATGTGTGAATGTATATGTGATCTTAAATCCTATATCTCAGTCTGGAGAAGTTTTGAAGTCAACAAATACAGAATAGCCTGTGGCCTGCCACATAGTTTTCCTCTATCCTCCAGCACAAAATTTTCTGTCAGTTTTTTAACCAGTTGTAGCAATTAGAAATTGTTAACTAACATAAAATTGTTAAACAGTTTGCTTCCCAAGCAGCCAAAAATCCAAGCCAAGCTCAGTTTCCAAAAAGACAGGTTTCATGGTTAAAAAAGGAAGAAAGCAATTCTAGAGAGAGAATGTGCTTAGAGTAGAAGGAAAGAAAGAAGAAAGACTGGTAAGTAAATGCCAAGATAAATTGTCTAACAAAGTTGATTCATGACAAAACTTCTTAAAGCAAATATTGTAAAAGCACAGACATGAGGTCAAATTAATGAAACAAAAGAAGCAAACTTTCTAAGTGGAGTTTCAATTGTATTCAACATATTTTTCTCATGAAACAAAATTTTAGCAAGTGATGTATGATAAAACTTACATTCCTCTTTAGTTGGTGCAAAGAATAGACAAGTCTGTCCTAAATAAGGAATTCCAACTGACTGTGCTTTGGAGATTGTTGCTTATGAGGCAAAAAGGAAAGAACTAGCCAAGCATTGTTAGCATTTGAAGACAATTATACCAGGAAACTCTTTAGCCTTAATGACATCAAAATGCAAATTAAAGAAAGCATGCTTCTCTCCAATGCTCCGTGGGGTATATAACTATGTTAGACTTTGTTCCCAGCATAAGCAGTTGACCCACTATTTGGAAGAAGACCATCCTTGGCCATTTCAGTAAGCATGTAGAAAACCACATCCATGTTCCCTTCTTTATGATTGATTTCAACAAGAACTTTTGCAAGCTCAGCATCAGTAAGCCTACTGCTTCTCAAGGTATTCTTTATCACCTGATTTAATTCGTCATTCTTGCCATCCATGAATAGTGCTCTAACTAAAGCAATAACAGTCACAGTGTGAGGAATAAAACCAGAATTTACCATTTCCCTGTAGAGATCATATGCTTTTCTAACATCACCACCTCTACAATGACCATGTATAATGACATTATAGACAGATTCATCAGGTTTGTTCTTTTTCTGAAGCATTGACTCAAAAACTCGATCAGCCTCATTCATCAAACCTTTCATACAGAATCCCTTTAGAAGACCTACCACGCTTTTAAATTCAATATTACTGCAGTTTTCTATTAGTGTATCATATGTGACATCATTTGGGACAGACCCCTCATAAAACAACTTCAACAAAAGCCTCTTAGCTTCCCTTGTACGAGCTAGTTTATTAAGTCCATTAATAAGCACACTGTAAGTAACAACATCTGGGAAGAGACCCTTCCGAACCATTTCGTTGTGCAAATCTAGAGCCTCACTTATATCCCCTTCTCTGCAGTAACCATTAATCAAACTTGTATATGAGAATTCATCGGGACATAGGCCCAAATCCACCATCTCTTGGAAAAGATTACAAGCTTCATGGAGTCTACCCAGCTCAGAAAGACCATTAATGAGGGATGAATATGTAATGGTATCTGGTGAAATTCCTTTCTCAGCCATCTCCTGCTTCATTTGGAATGCTCTCTCCAGGTCCCTATTTTTACAAAACCCAGAAATAATTGTACTATAACTTACTATATCTGGGGCTAAACCTTTCTCAACCATTTCCTTTAACAATCTTAAAGCCTCTTCTACCCTTCCAAGTATGCAATACCCATTAATTAGAGCATTATAAGTAACTACTGAAGGCAAGAATCCATTCTTAGTCATTTCATTCAAAACATGAAATGCTTCATTCAGAAATCCTTGTTGTGAGAACCCATCAATCAGAGTTGTATATGTTCTCTCATTAGGAAGAAGTTTTCTAACATGCATCTGATTGAAAAATTCCATTGCTCGACTCATATTCCCAGCCTTACACATACTATTAATCAATGAAGTATATGTAACAACATTTGGAGACAAGCCATTCTTCACCATCTCCTCGTGCAACACAAGGGCTTGATGAAAATTTCCTTTCCTACAATGCCCATTTATAAGAGTATTATAAGTAACCTTATCTGGAACAAAACCCTTCCGACACATCTCTACAAGAACCTCACCTGTCTCCCTCAATCTCCCTTCTCTGCACAAGCCATTAACTATCACATTATATGAAATCAAGTTTGGCTCCAAACCCTTCAATGCCATCGACCTCAACAAATTATATGCATCATTAATCTTGTTTGACTTACAGTATGCATCAATCAGTGTATTATAGGTAACCACATTAGGCAAACATCCATTCCTTTCCATTTCATCAAATAACAGTAAACCCATTTCCAAATTCCCTTCTACACAAAACCCTCTAATCAGAATATTATAAGTAAACACATTTGGGGCAACCCCACCCTTGATCATCTCCTTACAATGCTCCACAGCCAATCTAACAGGCCTTTTACACCTGACTAATGCATCTAAGATAGCATTATAAGATAATACGCCGGGCATAAAACCATGGAATTTAGCTAAATTAACAATATTGGAAGCTTTATCAACCAAATTCAAATGGGCATAAGATTTTACCACCAAATCAAAAACAGATGAACTTGAACCACACAAATGATACGTCTCCTTGAGGCATTGGAAGATGAAACTGCCCGCGTCATCAGAAGTGGTAACTGCAAGGTCCTGTGCCAGGGTTTGTGCAGATTTATAGAGCTTGAACTTGGTGAGAATATGGAGAGTAAAGCACTGACAATGGGGGGTGAAGAAAGGGTGGCGTTTGGCCCAATTGAGGAATTTCAAGGTTAGCGTTTTATCATTTTGGATCTTGAGAAGTAAACAGGATGCTGCTTCAGGGGTGAACTGGGAAGAGAGGGAATCTAAGTGGCGGAAAGGATGGTTTTTGAGAATGGTTAGGGCTTTGTCTGCAAGCTGGGCATCGGCGGCAGATGCAAGGGAGGAGAATGAACGGTAAATTTGAGGGTTTAGGACGGGCATTTCTCGGATTGGGAAGCTAGGGCTTCTCAGAGGTTCAATTGCAGAGCATCATCCATCGGAAGGACTGAAGATCTTTAGCAGAAATTTTTTTATTGCATTGGATAAATTATATATCTTGCCCCTAACCTATGTTTTGTCTGCAATTTTTTTTCCACTTTATTGTTTCGTTGTAATTTGGTCCCACATTTTCTACCGTACATTAAGGTTGTGTTTGGATTCTTCCTTTTGGATTTTTTTTAAAATTATTTTGGCTTATTACATAAGATGCATCTCTCTTTCATCCCTTAACCCCACACTATCTCACTCATATATCATATGATTTAAACTTTGAACTTCTTATTTTCACTCAAAAGATATTGATTTAAATTGAAAATCTCTTATTTTCACAAAAAGAAAATATCACTAAACTATTTAAATTTTCTTATTTTCGAGAGCATTATTGAGGAAGCTCGAAGTTTAAAGGTAGAATGATCAACTTCACTCCAAAGTTAGGCAATAGGGATGAATCCACCCCTAAACAAAAAGGAACAAATCCACCTAAAAAATTTTCAATTTTGATAAATCACCTTAAATTTAATATGTAACAGTAGGTGAAGTTAATAATTTATTAACAATAAACTTATTAATAGCATAATAAGTTAATAGATTATTGATATCATCTAACATTATACGTTAAATTATGGTAATTTGTTTAAGACAAAAATTTTATGGGTAGATTTGTTTTTATTTTTTTTATTTAAAAGTATATTTGTCCCTACTACATAACTTCAAAGATGAATTTAGACATTATGCCAAGTCTATATTAGCTAGTTTGGACTAGGAATTTTGTGCACAATAGTTAAAAAAACATGATGTAGTAATTACAAAATAAAAAAATAATTATGTTTAAAACAAAAAAAAGGAAGAAGAAGCAAAAGAGTAGTTATATTGAGGCATATAGTTGATTATAAACTTACAAGTATGACTAAGAAAAGCTTGTCTAAATTTATATTTACTAATTAAAAACTTTAATTTAGGATTATGATCAAAAGTTTAAACCTCTGTTATATTGAGTAACTAATTCTCCAATGTAAAAAAAAAAAAAAAAAACCCTTACAAATGGGTATTGTTGTACCTATGACTTTGATGATTACAAAACACATTTGAGTAACTAATTGGTTCATTTAAGTGTGTAGTTAAAATGTCAAAAGATTGCAAAATAAGTAAACTTGAACTGCACTTAAAAATGGACCAGAAAGGCTTGACTATGTGCAGAGAGCCGGCTCTTGAAAGCTGCAGTTGGCTCTGGTGAAATGGAAGTGCAGAGAGCCGGTTCTGGAAGCTGCAACCGGCTCTACGAGTAAAGATTTAAAGGTCTATTGTTTGGTGTGTGCGGAGAAAAGATGCAAAGTCGACTCCAACTTTGCAGCCGACTGTAAGGGTGCATTTAATGCACAACAGTCGACTTATTTGAATAATAATTAATATCTTTTAAAGTCGGAATACCAAAACCGACTCTACATTTTTTGCAGCCGGCTATGGAAGAAAACAGAATGTGCAAAATCCCACAAAGCTGGTTGCAGAAATGGTGAGCCGGTTGTGCAAAGCCAGCTCTAGGAAGTTAAGCTGGTTGTCCTGACAATCCTGCAACTCGACCTTTGCGTCCTGTGGAGCATTTAATGACCCCCAATGGTTAGAAACGGCTCTTTTCAAGCAAGGAGCTATAAATATGGTTGGTAACAGATCTAAACTTGCTTAGAGAGCATTATATTGAATATCTTTACCTACCTACATGAGCTTTAACTTGAGTTTTTGATCTTTGAAAGATCTTTACTTGTAATCCTCTTGTTGTTCTATTTGTGAGTAATCTTGGGGGTGTGATTAATCATTTAAGAGTGATCTATATAGAGGAATCTTGGGGTTTATCTTGTAAAGAGGTGAGATTTGAGAGAAACACCTTTATTTTTGTAAAAGGATTGAGTGGTTCCTTTAAGCCACCCTTGTTGTTGTTAGTGGAGTGTGGAGGAAATCCTTGGTGAGTGAAGCCAAGGTAGAGGACTAGGCTCCAAGTGGTTGGACCGAACCTTTATAAAATTATTGAGCAATCTCTTCTTCTCTACTCTCTTTATTTTTGGTTTTGTGGTTGTAAAAAAGGAAAAATTTTTGGAACTCCAATTCACCCCCCTGTTGGAGTACATTGAGTCAACATGTATGATTGGCTATATAACCTTGAGAGCATTCCAAAACAAACAATATATGGAATAGTTGCCTTGTAGGATGTTAGCCACTTATAATAATTTGTAATTGATTATATCCCAATTACAATCACTATTACTTAAATAACTAATATTTCTTTTAGCCAACAATCTAAATAGTTTAGTGGTAATCTTTTTATTTTAAAAGCAAAGGGCACAGCATGCGACTAAGGTGGATTAAGAGATGAGAGAGAGGCTGTCTCTAAT